GAAAAGGACCTGGGGGTGTTGGTCGACAGCCGGCTGAACATGAGCCAGCAGTGTGCCCAGGTGGCCAAGAAGGCCAACAGCATCCTGGCTTGTATCAGGAATAGTGTGGCCAGCAGGAGCAGGGAGGTGATTGTCCCCCTGTACTCGGTGCTGGTAAGACCGCACCTCCAATACTGTGTCCAGTTTTGGGCCCCTCACTACAAGAAAGACATTGGTGTGCTGGAGCATGTCCAAAGAAGGGCAGATGAAGCTGGTGAAGAGTCTGGAGCACAAGTCCTATGAGGAGCAGCTGAGGGAAGTGAGGTTGTTCAGTCTGGAGAAAAGGACACGGAGGGGAGACCTTATCGCTCTCTACAACTACCTGAAAGGAGGTTGCAGCAAAGTGGGTGTCGGTCTCCTTCTCTCAAGTAACAAGCAGTAGGACAAGAGGAAATGGTCTCAGGTTGCACCAGGGGAGGTTTAGATTGTCTGTTAGGAAAAACTTTTTCACCGAAAGGGTTGTCAAACATTGGAACATGCTGCCTAGGGAAGTGGTGGAGTCACCATCCCTGGGGGTATTTAAAAGACGCATAGATGTGGTGCTTAGGGGAATGGTTTAATGGTGGACTTGGCAGTGTTAGGTTAATGGTTGGACTTGATGATCTTAAAGGTCTTTTGTAACCTAAATGATTCTATGATTTTGTGACTCATAAATACCACCATTATTGCAGTGTCCCTGTGTGCTTCTCAATTCATCTTTCCTTTAGAAATTACCAAACACCAACATCCTGTTGCAGACCAGGGATGCCTGAAAAATAAACCTGGCCTGGGACCTGATTTACAATTGGATCTCAGTCTTTCTAAGGTGCTAAGCCAAAGTATCAGGTTTAAGCACCCTCAATTTAAGGAAAATCCACCTCAGAAGATTACAGATAAAGCCTGTTTCTCTTTCAAATCACTGGAAGCATGTAACTTCTGTTAGTGAGATAGATGAGTTTCCATCATTTTGCAAAAGGGTTTTGAGCCTCAGGTGCATACCAGCAAAATAAAGCCATAGATCATTTCCAGCATTTAATCTAGACCTTTGTTTTGTGTTTACTGTTGTCAGTGTTGATGGTTGTGCTTCTCAGGAGACAGGCTGTGAGGAAGGATAGAAAGAAATCTCTTCAGAGCTTTCCACAAAGACTTGGGTTTCCTCCTCATACAGACTCTGAAACTCATTAAGAGACAGCAGCTGTCTGTGGAATTTCTGCTTCAGAGAAATTATTCATACCATCTCAATAAATTCATCTTGGGCTTTCAATAATAATGCAGTTTGTTTCTGAGGGTACATTAAAAATGTCATATATCCAATCATACCACTTCTAATGACCCTCGTCAAGGACATTTCTCAACATTTGCATCCAATGCAGACATGCGAGGCATCACACTGGCTTTTGCAAATGAAAGCCCCCCGTCATTATTATCCAAAATCTCCATCAGTAAAAAAAGCATATCCTTGATCCCATTTCAACTTTAATCAGCCACACTTTAAAAATGAAAAAACAAAAACTCTCATCCTGCCATTATGGGAGTAGATACTGACAGCTTAAATGTACAGAGGGAAATTCAGTGCATCTATTAATTGAAAATGTCAGTGAAGTCGGTCAATTTTACCAGGCATGAGACATCTTAGAGATCATCTACAAAGTTCTTCTCCACTTTTCTCTGGCATCAGCTCAAGTAGCTCTGTACTGCATTGCCTGCAACCTAGCGATCCAGACATTTGTGATTTCTGGGGCTTGATTATTACAGTTTTTGCATTTATAGCGAGAACATGTTTTTTCACCCAATGGAGCTCCAGTGCCTTCAACTGGAACCTCTCCAGCCATCTGTCATTTTGGGATCCAAGGCTGGAGGCAAGACAAATTGAGAGAAAAAGCACTTCCCTCTTCTTTGAAACTAGTAATGCAGTAACCTTTTGTGACTGTCAAAAGGAAAACATCTACCCTGATTTAGAGCCAATTTAAAAATCATTAAAAGGATGTTAATGTTCAATATTTTAAAATACTGAATTTTTAAACTTCAATATTTTTATCTGGGGTTTGACACCAATATTTTAAAAGACTGGAGACTTTTGATAGCCACTGACTATTTCTCTACTGAGGGATAGAATTACTCTGCAATGTCTTAGATGGGTATTTCAAATTACACAAAGTAATTGAGGAGAAAAAGACTTTTTACTTTTCAGGCCCTTGTCAAAGAAATTTGAGTTTGCATTGCAAGTGGGGATCTAGCAGGAACATAGCACGGTACCATTTTGTGTTGTACACCATTACCTCCAACAGTAAAAATCTATGCTGCTACCAAATCAAGTGGGAATTCTTCTACTGAGGCTGGCACCTCAGGTCAGGAGTATTAGACATCTACATACACAGGGAAGTGCCCAAGCTCAGAGTTTCTCTTAGGCTCGTGGTGAAGCCAATGGTGTGAGACAGCCCCTCCCAAGACAGGCGTCTCTGGAGGAGCTCAAGACCTTGCTATGGATAGTGAGAGAGCCCAAGGTGCCCAGGCTGGACAGGGTGCACACCGGATAAGTATGCAAGGATATGTGGGATGAATCTAGAACACAGTGTGGCAGTCCTGAAGGACACCACAGACACAAGCATTGCACAGCTACAAACTTCATATGGCCCATGCCAGGTGTCTTGAAGGTTTTCTTTCTCCAAGGTGTGATATGAATATGGGTCTAA